GGGGGGGGGGGGTCCGGCATCGTCCACATTAAATGAAAAAGGGTCAGCAAAAAGTTGCCCTGTGTGTTTTGAAGTCTAAAAACATGTGATCAAATTCTTCCTGTAGCTTTGCAATGGAATCAGTATACTACTACTGAATGGTGTTCCCGAGTCCATGAGTACTTTGCATGTTGGGAAATGGCAGAGGTTTCTCTAAGTACCATAACAAAAGTTTTGTACAAAATGCCCTGACATTGTCATAGACAACACTGGCAAGCTACCCCTGGTCTTGTAACTTCTTGTTGAGTACATTCAGCTCCTGTGTAATGTCAACAAAAAAAGCCAAGTCCATGAGCCATTTGGGATCACTAAGTACAGGAACAACCACCCCACCCTTCTCCATGAAGGCTTTGAAGGCTGAACGCGTTCATAAAGTAGTTAGAAGCAGAAAATATTTATGAATTATTGATGCGAAGGAAGATGCTATTGTAGGTAGAATGAATTTTAATTTTTTTTTTTATAGTAGAAAAATCCATTTTGTCCAACCCTTTTGAAAGTGACCAAGCTGACAGGCTCTGAATTTTCCTCACTCGTACTCACTAGCGGCAATTTTAATAGAGATTCTTTGAGACTGTGTCAGATTGCTACGATTGACACTTTTTGCAATTATGTTTGTGCATTACCCACTGACTTTTTAAACTTTTATCAAAAAACGCACTTTTGGCCACTTTGTCTCATAACATGCAATAAAATAAAAATTTAAAACGATTCTTACCTTTATAATCAACGTCCAAGTCTATCCAAACACAATACAAATTAGAATTAGACGAGCAGGTGAGATTTGATTGGACCATCGCGGAGAATCACGTTATAGATATGAGAATGAGGAAAACGCGCGGGCCGCATTAACACTAAACTTTACTGTTATGTAGCGGGCCGCAAAATGTCGTCTTGCGGGCCGCAAATGGCCCGCGGGCCGCGAGTTTGATAGAGAGCTTGACAGCATGGGAATATGTTGTGAAAAAATTGCGAAGAAAGGTAATTAGATGGGGAATGTAGTGTGTAATCAAGGGGAATATAATGTCGACATGGGGAATGGGAAGAGTGTCAGCATGGGGTATTGAGTATTAATAAGGTGAAGAGAGTGTGTCAGCATGGGGTATTGAGTTTTAATAAGGTGAAGAGGGTGTGTCAGCATGGGGTATTGAGTGTTAAAACGGGGAAGAGAGTTTGAAAAGGGGGAGACACTGCGAAAACACCAACTTAAATTCCCTGGCGTGAAAAGTGGCCCATACCCGACTTCATACAGTTGACCATTGTTGGCTGCTGTATTGAGAGCCTTAAGAAAGGTCATTTTTACCAATGAAATTTGCAATGCCGCCTACTGTCAATGTATAGAATATGCTAGAATCTCACTGAGACAATGTTAGAGCATAAAATTAAAGGATTCTTTCGCACTGTCAGCGTTACGAAAGTCTGGCCAATATGTGTTAGCGAATGGCCCTTGTAACAAAGAATGCTATTGTCTCTTGTATGATTTACCAAAATTTTAAAAAGAATCTATGAAATAATTGTATATAACATATACCATGTTTTTTTGTTGTTTTTTTTTGGCTTTTTGTTTTGTTGCTTTTTTATATATTTATTTTATAATATACGAATCTAATTTATCATTTCTTTTAGTAGTTACATTTGTATTATAATATTTTTAAACTCGTGTATTATACTAGACTCCCCCCGCCCCCTTTTTTTTCAATAATTTAATTTAAGTATATATCATATGAGAACCAAATTCTGTGTAGGCTTACTGTTTGATTATTTTCCAACCTTTTCCCATTTCTCTCCTATGTGTTCAGTGATTTGAGTGAAGATGACCACCTCCATTACAAGGCCCCGCACTGGGTCTGCAAAATGGGGTCGTCCCCGATCATCCTCCCAAGCCCGCGCTGTTCCCCAACAGTCTCTTGACCTTGACCTCACCATCACCGGAACGCCAACACCAGGACTGAACCCAGACTCTTCAAGAATCCTCCACTGGCCACCGGGTGAGTGACGGGATGAGCCCTGCTTTACCCACGTTTAAGCTTACAACACAGGGATATAAATGTGTCTCCTTATTTAACCCTGAGGAAATATCCTTCACCTTACATTGAGTTCTCAAACTATGTCAAGGATCACATTTAAAACAAGACCAGCAGTCCAAAACTTGTGTTGCTTTACTTTGTGTTAGTTGAGGCCAGGACATTGGGATTGGGTTCTTCTCGAATTATCTCGGGTGTCAGGCTGAACTGTTGGGTTGCGCTTTCCTGATAGTTACCCAAAACCCTGTGTTGGCCACTGTTAGTTACCCAAAACCCTGTGTTGGCTACTGTTAGTTGCCCAAAACCCTTTGTTGGCTACTGTTAGTTACCCAAAACCCTGTTTTGGCTACTGTTAGTTACCCAAAACCCTGAGTTGGCTACTGTTAGTTACCCAAAACCCTGTGTTGGCTACTGTTAGTTACCCAAAACCCTTTGTTGGCTACTGTTAGTTACCCAAAACCCTGTGTTGGCTACTGTTAGTTACCCAAAACCCTGTGTTGGCTACTGTTAGTTACCCAAAACCCTGTGTTGGCTACTGTTAGTTACCCAAAACCCTGTGTTGGCTACTGTTAGTTACCCAAAACCCTGTGTTGGCTACTGTTAGTTACCCAAAACCCTGTGTTGGCTACTGTTAGTTACCCAAAACCCTGTGTTGGCTACTGTTAGTTACCCAAAACCCTGTGTTGGCTACTGTTAGTTACCCAAAACCCTGTGTTGGCTACTGTTAGTTACCCAAAACCCTGTGTTGGCTACTGTTAGTTACCCAAAACCCTGTGTTGGCTACTGTTAGTTACCCAAAACCCTGTGTTGGCTACTGTTAGTTACCCAAAACCCTGTGTTGGCTACTGTTAGTTACCCAAAACCCTGTGTTGGCTACTGTTAGTTACCCAAAACCCTGTGTTGGCTACTGTTAGTTACCCAAAACCCTGTGTTGGCTACTGTTAGTTACCCAAAACCCTGTGTTGGCTACTGTGAGTTACCCAAAACCCTGTGTTGGCTACTGTGAGTTACCCAAAACCCTGTGTTGGCTACTGTTAGTTACCCAAAACCCTGTGTTGGCTACTGTTAGTTACCCAAAACCCTGTGTTGGCTACTGTTAGTTACCCAAAACCCTGTGTTGGCTACTGTGAGTTACCCAAAACCCTGTGTTGGCTACTGTGAGTTACCCAAAACCCTGTGTTGGCTACTGTTAGTTACCCAAAACCCTGTGTTGGCTACTGTTAGTTACCCAAAACCCTGTGTTGGCTACTGTGAGTTACCCAAAACCCTGTGTTGGCTACTGTGAGTTACCCAAAACCCTGTATTGGCTACTGTTAGTTACTTAAAACCCTGTAAATTTGTTTGAAAGAAATTTCGTTGACGGAAAATTGATCGAATTTTATTTTCAGTTCACACGATCAAATTTCCGTTCGACCAAACTTCCGTCGATCAATCCGGTAACCATGGCATTGTCCTAACCAGATCTGATCTTTATCATTTGATCTATGTGTCCAACATAGTCGTCTTACATTAAAGCCTATCAAAGTTTTCCGACTCACCTTTAAATATATTTCTTTAGCATGTTGTTTTTGTGAGGATGTTATTCCCATCTAATTTATATGCCCATTTATTTACTTATGCAAACAACTGTAATCCCTTGTGATTCAATGTTTTCTAGATTTTTCTGGTCATTAATTTTTGATGGATATTACTTTTCCGATGGAAACAACTTCCATATTTTCTTATCGAATTTTCATTTGTCATTTTCGCTAAAGCAGGCTCTACGCCGAAACGTTCATATCTTATTCTCCTGTCTTTTGATTCAAGCTTCAGCATACCTTGTTCTACTATTTCATTCCCTATTTTAACAGTTTAGGTAAGATTCTGGCGGTACCCTGTCTTGGGGACATTCTTTACTGGTGGCACTTTGTCATGGTGTCACCCTGTCTTGGGGACATTCTTTACTGGTGGCACTTTGTCATGGTGTCACCCTGTCTTGGGGACATTCTTTACTGGTGGCACTTTGTCATCTTGTCACCCTGTCTTGGGGACATTCTTTACTGGTGGCACTTTGTCATCGTGTCACCCTGTCTTGGGGACATTCTTTACTGGTGGCACTTTGTCATGGTGTTACCCTGTCTTGGGGACATTCTTTACTGGTGGCACTTTGTCATGGTGTTACCCTGTTGTTTTATTTAACCGATTTATGTTATAAAAACCCACTTCAGCGAGCTCGGTCAAATTTACAATTTTTCATTTGGTAATAATTTAATTTAAGTATATATCATATGAGAACCAAATTCTGTGTAGGCTTACTGTTTGATTATTTTCCAACCTTTTCCCATTTCTCTCCTATGTGTTCAGTGATTTGAGTGAAGATGACCACCTCCATTACAAGGCCCCGCACTGGGTCTGCAAAATGGGGTCGTCCCCGATCATCCTCCCAAGCCCGCGCTGTTCCCCAACAGTCTCTTGACCTTGACCTCACCATCACCGGAACGCCAACACCAGGACTGAACCCAGACTCTTCAAGAATCCTCCACTGGCCACCGGGTGAGTGACGGGATGAGCCCTGCTTTACCCACGTTTAAGCTTACAACACAGGGATATAAATGTGTCTCCTTATTTAACCCTGAGGAAATATCCTTCACCTTACATTGAGTTCTCAAACTATGTCAAGGATCACATTTAAAACAAGACCAGCAGTCCAAAACTTGTGTTGCTTTACTTTGTGTTAGTTGAGGCCAGGACATTGGGATTGGGTTCTTCTCGAATTATCTCGGGTGTCAGGCTGAACTGTTGGGTTGCGCTTTCCTGATAGTTACCCAAAACCCTGTGTTGGCCACTGTTAGTTACCCAAAACCCTGTGTTGGCTACTGT